AAATGCAAGATAAAACGTGTGTAGGGCAATATATTGTGTAAGTGCAGATGTATGTGTAAGTGTAAATATGTACAAATGCGAATTATGAAATTGAGTCGTATTAGGGTTTTGTCTTAGATATACGTCTTTAAATGAATTTTGATTTTTTTTGTATGCCTATGTATAAATGAAGGGTTTTGATTACGTGTTAAGTTTTAATTGGAGAGTATTTTAGTCAAAATGTTCGTAATTTTAAATATTAGAAGAGAAATGTATTGAATTATTATGTATGAAAAATGTTAATTAAAAAAGTTTAATTTTAATTATGTATGAAAAATGTATAATATGCACAAATAATGTTCAAGTTTAAATCAAGACTGTCTCTTTATTTGTTTATATACAACAAAGCATTTAAATTTAAATTAAAAGAATTGAATTTTGTATTAGAAAAGTGTATTCAAATTATTATGTACAAATGTGTATTAAGAAAATATTTTCAAATTTAACTTATATGACATGTACAAATATATTTCAAAAATATTTTTAGTTAATTATGTATACAAGTATTTAGATAAAGTTAGTATGCTTAATAATATTAAGAAATAAATTATATGTTTTAGAAACAAGGAAATAAATGAGTTAGTATATAAAGGAATAAATATTGTTTTTTATTATAAAGATGAAAAGAGTTAGAGTTTTATAAAATAGGATTAGTGTTAGAAAAAATAGTTAGTGTTAGAAAAAAAACAGTAATTCGTTGGGCTTTAGGAAACGGGTCAGATTAAGCCCATGGTTTGTGAAACAGAATTAGGGTTAGGCAGTTGTTTGTTCAATTGGGAGTGGAATTAGGGTTCGTCAGCAGCGGCGCCGTGTTCTCTTGAATTTCGTCTTCTTCGTTCTAGTCTTCCCTGAGCTTCCTCCGGCCACCAGCGCGCTTCAACGCTCTCTTCCCTCCAGGGCAAGGATTTCGCGTCTCTTGAAGCAAGGTTAGTCTTAAAATGATATATCTACGTCTTTCTTTTTCTGGATTCGCGTGGTTCGGACTTGTCTTTAAACTGAGTTTTATATTTTCGTTTTATGAGGTGAAAGGGAAGATATTGCTACCTGTTCTTGGGAGACGGAGGAGAGGCAGAGAAGTAGCGTTCAGGCGGCCGGAGCGTCGTGATGGACTTGATGAGGCTTCGCTTCTGATGACCCCTTCTTGGTAACTTCGTTCCCTGTTTATGCTTAAGGTTTTGATGATGATGCTCGATTTGGCCTAAAAAAACCTTTCTTGAAATTCACTTCTTGTCTTCTTCTTCTTCAATGCGTTGCCTTGGATTATTGCCTGTGTATTTTTAGAACGTTGCTGCCTTGCCTATGATTTGCCTTCTTCTTCTCTTGTTGCTTATGATTTTGCCTCTTTGAAAACTGTTGAGGTTGATAGTTTTCCTTTTTGCTTTGAGATGAATGCGCTTCTGAACTTTACCCTATGATGAGCTTCTGAGGGTTTTTATGGCCCTAAATATGTTATGGTTGAAGCAATTTTATTGTTTTGACTAGCTTTTTCTGAATGGCCTAGGGTTTAGTGGCCCTTGTTTCTTTGTTGGAACTTCCTTTATCTCAGTTGCCTGGAACTTTCGTATGTTCTTCCTTTGAAACACTTGATTATGAAGCTTTGAGATTGTTGAGCCCTTTTGAAGATATGGTGCCTTTGATGTTTGGGTTTGGTGTTTTTGACAGGGTTGGTTTTGGATGATGATTTGATTTTAGTTTGGATATCAGGATGTTGGTATGGTGAGGTTATGACTTTTGATGACAGTAATGGTGTTTATGATTCTGGTTAGGCAGCATGTAGAGTTTTTGTGTATCAGTTTTGTAAATATATCTTCTTCTGAACTGTGCCTTTTCTATATGCAGAGTTTGCTTTTGTTATGACAGTCGTGTTTTTTTTTCTTCTTAACCTTCCCCCCAACTGAGTTCTTGTATCTCTCTTCTATATCTTTTTTGAACTCACCTGCTATACTGCTATATTTCTATTCTGAATTGCCTGCTGTGAACTGCTTGTGGACTTGTAGATCTTCTCTTTCCCTACTGTCTCCTTCTACTGTCTGCTGTATATTCTGAACTATGCCTAACCCTGCCTGCTGCTTTAATCTCTTTTCTCTCTCTCAAAGTACAGCTTAGGATTTTAATATGATTTTACTGTACTGTTCTGAAGGGGCCTTTGTGGGAAATGATGAAAAAGATAGTTTGCATCATACACTACTGCATCTCCTTTTTACAGTTTGGATAGATTTTGCATTTTGATATCTTTTCCTCAAATCTTCTTTGACAGCTTTATGCTTTTATTGATTTTCTTTGAGTGGACTTTGTTTTGGATTTGAAAGTTTGGATTGAACCTTTTCAGTTTGGATTGGATTTTTGAATCTTGAATTTCTATGCAGCTTGAATTTCATAACTTATGCATTTTTGACATTTGCATTTCATGAGATAAAATAATCTTCCCTCTCTGTGAACCGGGAGAAACCCTGTGATTTGCAGAGAGGGTAACTGATCCCAGTCAGCGGCCCCTAATGATGAGCATTTTTTTATCTGCCTCTGCCAATTAACTGCTTTTGACTTTTCTATTTCTTTTTGCAGATGAAAGATGGAATGCCGGAGCGGAGTGAAGAATGAAGAGTATTTAGAAAATAGGATATTTTTTCATTCTATTGTAATATTTAAATTAAATGTAAATTATTGTTTGTAATAAACAACAATTTATAAATACTTTAAGTATCAATAAAAATTCAAATTATCCGATTAATTCTAATTTCTTTATTGTTTATTTATTTATTTAAAATTCTTAGAATTAACAATTGAAAAATAAATTCAATCATTTATTTTCAGAATAATAAATAACTTAAATAAAACAACATTGACCAATTAAGTCTGTCTAATCCAAAATCCAAAGCAAAGCAGAATACTGACCAATTAAGTCTGTCTAATCCAAAATCCAAAGCAAAGCAGCAATTAAACCAGATAGACTGATCAAACACATGAATACTGTGAATTCCAAAACTGCATCTTGCATCTGACTGGCCCAATCAGAATGTACTGAATTCAAACCACTGTCTCTTTTGTTGATTAAACCAAGATAACGCGACTTTTAATCCGAATCTTGAAATAAACCGCAAAGTGTTGTGGAATTCAAATTCTCCTGAGAATATGCCCATGAAACCCTAATTCCTGATTAAATGCCAAATCACGCTCGCTTGATCAAAATTGAACCCAAAACCAACCAAACCCTTAAGCCCACTGTATGAAACAATTCAGAGCTCTGAAAATCAGTAAAACCCTAATTTTGTTTGACCGTCAAAAAAAAGTCCGTTTGTCCGATTCTTGAGTCAGTTTGAGAAGTCTGGAAATGTTTGAAGCTGAGATTTCTTCGTGGAAAAGCGCGAGGGCAAATTTTGGGGTACAACAACTGTGTTCTTTTCCCGATACCAAAGGTTTTCTCTATACTTTCCTTTCTCTATTTCTTTTGGGATAAATAAAATTAGGTGGCGACTCTGTTTGTTCCATATGAAGTTATTTGTTTTATTTCGAGTAGCTTCAAGGTCCATACGAACTTGAAACTAAAATAAACAAAGCATAAACTTTACAAAAGGTAAAGGCCCACATGGCCTGAATAATTGAAACAAAACAAAAAACTTTAATAAAGTAGTCAATCATTCAAAAGTAAGTCTTAGTGGAAGATAATTGAAGCAAACAAAAGGAGGGGGCGTTGTTATCTTTATGTTCTTATCTTTATCATAATTGATTTTATCTTCAAAAAATGCTGACAAGAGAAATCTTTATAATCTTATCTTCAATATAATGGAACTTATATTCGAAATAATTGAATGATATACAGGATCCTGTCTTTCAAAGATCTATGATTTCACAACAATCATCTTCATTAATATTTTTAGAAGTGTTAGAAGCATTATCACTTTAAGATAAAATAACCATAGTTTCTTTAATCTTGCTTAAGAATTCTCTGTAGCTTGTAGCTGGAAGTAGGAAATAAAGAGGCAAGTAACTTTGATCGATCTAACAAGAAATATATCTTATAGAGAGGTCGTCGTTTCTTTGCAAAGACCATGATATGACTTGAACCAAGAATCTAATCTTAATAGAGAAAACAAATCTAGATTAAACTTTGATCACCATTAAATGTAAAATTTATTGATTAATTGAGTAGAACAGGACCATTCCCATAATGGTTAAGTTGAAACGCCCAAGATGAAATCCATGTAATTCCAAAAATAACACAAAAATATAATAAAGACTTGTAATGAGGATAAGTAGTTTTTTCTGTAAAATTGTCGAATGCCTTTAAGGCATAATCAAGAAATATTTCTAAAGTTGGCCCAACAATTTGGAACCACTAGATAAACCAATTAGGGAAGCTAAGTGAAACATCCTTGTTGAACCATATAAACCAATTTGGGACAATTTCTTCACCATTCGCCCTGGCTCTTTTGAATGGTATGCCGAATGGACTCACCTAAGCGACTCACTCATCTCCCTCCTCCAAACCCTAACTCCTCTATCATCGTCTCTTCCCCTCCTCGTCCCTGGTTGCAGAAACTCTCGCCTCTCCGAACACCTCTACGTCGCCAGATACACTTCCATCACCAATGTTCATTTGTCTAAGTTCGTCATCTTCAATATGCTTCATAGTAACATCCGTTCTCGGCCTCTCATACGATGGTGTGTCATGGACATGAACGACATGCAGGTTACTCGACATGCAGGATGGTGTTTAAATTCTTACTTATATTTCATTTTAAACATGTCAACTTATAAGCGATAAGCTCAAATACTGACATTGCCAAACATAACCTACAAATTCATGTAGCTTTCTTTCTAAGATTATTCGTTTTTATTTTTCAGGCTGCAAGACGGCATAAACTTTATACAAGTTAGGAAGATAATCCTAATATTCGTTTTTGTCATGCTCAAGGTAATACTTATTACGTTATTATACATATACATGCACGTAAACCGGAAACATGACATTGACACCGACTCGTCTACACCATCCGTAATAATTTGAAATAAATAATAAGTTAAATATAATCACAAGTGTCGGTGTCGGTGTAGGTTTTGGATGCCGACACTGACTTGAGGTGTCAGTGCTACATATATTATGATACTACATACACTTTATTATCTTTTCTTCCTGCATTTTTCCACATACATCTCATGCTAATTGTGATATATTCTGCTTATGTTTATAATGATGTCAAACTTATATGGTATTGTGAAATATGTATGGGGAAGTTTTACTGCCTTGAATATTATTTCCAATGTCTTAGTTGTTTCGATGGTTCTAAAATGTATGTTTGGTAGATGACTATGTTTTCAAATTGGTCTCGAAAATTCTGAGATAGTAGACCCTTGGAAATTAAGAGAAATTATATTGTTTACAAGGATTGTTTGTATTTGCCGGGCTTTTCGACCACAATCAACTAACATGTAGTATTCCTAGTAGCCTTAGCTCTCTGAGAAAATTGGAAGTGGTGTAACTGTAAGTATATTGTGGCTTCACGTACACTCACTGTTTGCAGGGTTCTAAGTTACAATAAATATGAAGCTTTAGGGATCTGAGTTAAGGATATCAAATACTTAATCACACTTGTACTTAATCACATTAGACATGTATGCAACTGCTATAAGTCATGTATTATGACACAATGACTTTAATTTGCATATTGTGATATAAAAAATGTTTGCAGGGATCTGAGCGACAATAATTTCAATTCTTCTGATATTCCTTCATGGGTTTATGTTTCTAGTAATCCAAATCTGACGACAGTGTATGTTTCTCCATCCTTCCCACATTAGACCTATTTCTAGCTACTCTTTTTTATAGCTTATTAAAAATTATCTTATCATATAGTATTTAGTTAAGTAGTTTATATTTTGAACTTATTTCAATAAGTTTTCATGAAAATCAGCTTATGCATAGTTACTGAATGTCTAACAGAATACTCAAGGACAACCAGCTCAGTGGCACATTAAATCTCAGCAGTGGCTACAGAAGAAGTCTGCAATCATTGATTTCCAAAACAATGGTATTACCGAACTCGAGTTCGGAAACCAAATGTTGAATTTCAACTTGAGGTAGGCTTTATTATACATATGATATCAATTTTTGCATGGACTCGAACTACTTGACACTGGTAAATTTTTTGATGTTCAATCATTGTGACACACTCCCCATTAGAACTGCATGTATCATTTTATGGTTTGTTGTGTGATGTTTAGTGACATTGGTTGTGCATACTTTGTTAAAATGTTTGATTTTTGTTCGTTAAGATCCTTAGAACTGCTAGCATTTTTTTGCGTGTATTGTCTGATACGATACATTATGCTATATCAAAATTTGTACATTTTGCTCCATATGATTGTGTGATGGGTTTTGATCCTGTTGAATTTGTGTGAGTTGCTGCTCCTATGTGTATACTTGTTATGGATTTGAACTTTCTCCAACCTTGTTATTGCCCTGTTTTTGTCCTAAAGTTATATTCCATTAAATTTAACTTTGATTTTGATTGAATTTTTATAATTATTCATTCAATTAAGTCAAGTGTTGTTCATCAAATAACATAGGCAAAGGTGTTGATATCATCATCAGAAGATAACTCTGAGACATTAGCTATGATTATTGACAGAAAGTCTCTTGCTCATAAGTTAGAAGACGATGTAAAGAACTTGCGAAACAAAAATGAGACTTGGTAGCACAACTTTAGCTATTGGAGATGGAGCAAACGATGTTGGTATGCTACTAGAAGCAGATATTGAAGGTTTTAAACATGTATTTATGTTATGTCAAGCATAAATGTTTTCTATGTAAAGATATTTTGATTGAAAAAGTACTTTACTCTTATTGAAAAAGTAAGTTTCAATATTGATTTGTGTAATACAGTGAGAGAACTGACTTGAGTGTTTTATATTTTATCGCAATTGTTGCAGATAACAAGAGTCACTACCGACTTTTCTTTTATCCAATAAAGGAAATGGTGAAAATAACAGGAAAGACTTTTTGAGAATTTTCTTGAGTTCGGGAGTAGGTTATGAAAAGGAAAGATGTTAACATCATTTTCATATGTAGTTATCTATCGGCTCTTAATTGCTATCTCACTTTGAAATGTTTTGTTTGAAATGTGTTTGTGATTGGTTTTGACAGTATTTTTTGAAAAACGCATTCGTTTAGGCGAATTTTGTAATGATTCTCGTCTCTATAAGAATGTATACAAAGTGTTGACTTTTTGAAAATATTTTGTTTTTGAAAGTGTTAGTGTGTTTAAAAGATGTTGTTTAAAAGGTCTTTGTTCTTTTCCTCTTCCTTTAGATAATTGTTATCTTACTATTGATTAATAAGAAGTCATATCATTGGATGTGAAGGGACGGATGTGGGTCGTCGTACATTCATAGAAGGTAACTTATGAGGCGCTTTAGCAATTTTCATAAGGGACTAAGATCATTTTACCGAAGGCAGCGTCGAAGGATCATCGAGGGATTACGATCTTTTTTTTATTGAGGATCTTTGCTAAAGCGTCCCGCATTCGAGGGACATGACTATTTTTCCGAGGCAAGTTAGCCCTAGAGGTGCACGTGTGAAAAGTGATTTGTTTTCAAGTTATTTTATCTTTGATTAGGGTTATCTAGAGGTTGATTTTGTGTCTTGTCATACACGCTTAATTACTATACAGTATAAAAGAACAATAAATTGCGGAAATTAAAATTATACGCTATTACAGAGCTTTCGAGAATGGAGAATACAAATTTACAAATGGAAATGGATCAAAACAAATTTACAAATGGAAATGGATCAAATTGACAATGTATATAAACAAGCAATACAACACAATCAATTAGAAATGAACAGTTAATTAAATTAAAATAATTTAAAGTAAAACAAATGAAAATAATATTTTTGGTATTTTGTTTTGTGGAAAATTTTGGAAAATAAAAAATAAAAAATAAATAAAAAATAAAAAATGTATTCTATTATTTTAAATTTTTATCATGTATAAACTAAATAGTCTAAATGAATGTTAACTATAAAATATTATTTTAATTAAATTATTCACAAAGTCTTAAACTAAATTAATTTTAAAATTATATATTTTTATTTAATTGAATTAAAACTAGAGATCAATCAAATTAAATCTAAACTAAATAAAGTTATTAACTTAAAATTCTAATTTATTAAATTAAAATTTAAACAAGTTAATTATAAAATTAAATTTAAATTAAATAAAATTATTAAAATGATTCTAAACTAACTTAAGATTCTAATTTACCAAATTAAACCTAAACTAAGCTAATTATAACAATACTAAAGTAAAAATAAATTAAATTGATTTATAAAAGTACTAATTTAAAGCTAGATTAAATTAATCCTAAGATTACTAATGAAAATCTAAAATTTAAGAAAACTAAACTAAAGTTCTAAAATTATTAAATTAAAATTAAACTGAAATAAAATATTAAATTGAATTTAAACTCTTTTTTTTTTTAAATCCAAGGTTGTTAAATTAAAATAAATAATGAAAGATGGTATGAAACAGAATTATAGGGTGAAGGGATAAGTAATTAGCTGGAATGGACTCAGACATAGGGCTTAAGGCTTATCACAAAAAAAAATGTAAAAGAGAAACAAACAAAAAAACGAGTGGGCTTAAATGGACGAGGTCGTGTCAGACCCGGGTCCACCCCTCTTCTAAAATGGCTATGCGGGTTATGATAACCCTAAAACACAAAATTGAACAAGCAGCCATGGAGAGAGTAAAAGAACGCAAGAATTCCTTTCTTCAAACAGAAAATCATGTCCAAACTTCTCAACTAATCTCTCTCGAAATATCGCTCATCTTCTCACAGTTCTCATCTTTCTAAGCTCATTATTCTTCTCCTAACGTTCTCCCTCTCCAAATCCTCATCTACACGGGTTTCAAATAAACAAAACATATAAGCCTCAAATCATCAAAAGAGGGTTATGAACATATCGTGCAATTTCTTTTCTGTTGATGGTGGAGATGAAGCGTTGGGAGGTGGTAGATCGGCACCAGAATATGTCTGGTTGTGGAGCTATGAAGGAAATCGGTGGTTGAATCGTTTGAAGCTGATTCGCGGAAGGGAAGAAAAAGGTTTGAATGCATTTTCTGTTGTTCTTTTACTGCTGTAAATCTGTGAACATTTTTCTTATGTTGGCTATTATATGCAATGTATGTTTTTTGTGTTGCTATCCTGTTGAAGGTTCGTTGTTGTGTTTTATTTGTATTTCACTCCACATGGGTCCTATTGATTTGAAGAAGATGTTGAGCTGTTACCATAAAAAAAGTTCACAAATTTAATTGATGAAAGATTGTTGTGCTGTTACAGGTGGATGGTTGAGAGTTAGTAGTATTTGTTCAAAGTTGTTTGTGGGATGATAGTTGAAGGTTGCCGTTTGCTACAGGGAAGTCCCTTCTGTAAAACTTTCTCTCTTTTTTTTCTTAAGTTTCTGAAGGATTGTGTGAGGGAAAATGATGATAACAGTTGGGGTTTCTGTATGCTTTGTGATGTTGTCGCTGGCTGTTGGGTGATATTCGGTTTCTCTCTGGTTTTTGTGTATGTTGTTGCTATGACTTTGGTTCTCTTCTCTCTTTTTGTATCTGTGTGTTTTATAACAGTAGAAGAACAACATTTTAGGGAAAATGTTTAGTGAGTTTGAACACTTGAGATATGTTATTTTTACAACTTTTAGATGCAGCTTTTTTTGTTAATTATTTTGTGTAAGTCAGGAGCAAGTTTGGATTGTTATACTTGGTCTTGTTTGGACTATTTTTTGACAGAATTTGTGCAGGGCAGCAGGTCTGACTTTTTGGACATTTCTTCTTGGACTATTTCTGTTTTTGATAGAATTTATGGTTTGCTGTAACTTTGTGATTTTCTTTATACACCTCTTTCCTTTTGCGAACCAAAGTTCACCTTTGTGATTTGCAATTGGAAAAAATGGCCCATGATTAAATCCATTTTCGTATGAAGTTGTTTGGTACAAAAACATGCTTGAAAAATATCCTTTTTCTGATTCCATAAACCAACCCTAATGATGACTTTTCAATATTCTGCTTGAAATTTTCTTTGTCCATATTTGATTACTTTCTAATCAATTTCCCTTCTTTTGTTTCATGTGGGTGCCCATGGAGGAAAAACAAGGGGAAACATGGCATAGCTTGGAGGGATTTGTAAGATTAAAGGGTAAAACCTGGAGACACTTGAAGATGGATCAAGAATTTTGTTTTGTATAGTATAGGAAATTTTATAGTTTTTGAATTTGTAAATAAATTTAGATTTTGTAAGGACTTTGAAACTGTTTAGAATTTATAAATAGATTTGGAATTTTGAACAATGACGAATATTTGGAATTTTGGAAATTGGATGTTGAAAGAATAATGGATGTTTGTTATTGTGAGTGAACATTGTGAGACTTTGTAAGATTTGAAATGAATGAATGTGACAAAAATTAAAAGATATCCACATGGCACTCTAATGGGATTGTGCATCTTGGTTTAGAAAGAATAACAGATTTTGCATTCCCTCTTTTAAATTCTAAATTTTGAGTGCACTAACAAAGAAGTTCTCCATCCAATTTGAAATCAAATTCGAAACCACTCCAATTGAAATGATGTATCCATCATGAATCAAATAAACAAATAAATTCTTTTTCTAATGAATTTGATTTCAAATTTCACTCCATGACCACCCGTATCAAAACATTGAATCAACGAATAATCCAGAAGTCACTTGACCATAGAAACTTGAAAATTAAGCTCATCAATTAGAAGGGGTCAGAAACCTTAATTTCAAATCCAACTTTGGTTAATTTTCTTCACAAGCAAACAATGTATCATCAAAAAGTCCTCACACTCAACATCATGAATCAAAACCCTAGTTCAAGATAAACTCAAATATAGACCTTAATATTGCGCAATCATTGAAACATGAACCTTGATATCAATAGGTGTTACACCTTTAAAAGTCTAAACCCTAGTACAAAACCAAAGGATAGGAAAAATGTGATTCTCGTTTGACACATTTTGTAAACTTGAACCCTTGATGGAACAAAGAAATTAATTGACGGGTCTTGAAGCCTGAGAAGCTCTGAATGGTTGAAAAACCCTAAGAGAAGATCTTGAAAAAAAGGAGGGCAAATTTTGGGGTACAATAGATGCCCCTGTTCAATCTTCTTAAACTTGAAGAGTTAGATTGGCATGTTCGCCATTCGTAACTTGATGGTAGAAGATGATTGAACACTAGAGTGCCCAGAAATTTGCACTCACCGATGCTGAAGTAATGTTGTGTCGGGAATGGGCTTAAAGATGCTCTTTGGAGAATAATGGGAAGTTTGTCGGAGATGGGATTACATATGCCATCTACAGTGACTGTTGGTAGAGACTGGAAGAAATATCAGAATAAATCTTTGGTCGATTTATACTGAAACTATTTTTCATGTCTTTAACTGGGGGAGATAAATCTGATCTAGAAGAGGTCTCGTGATTGGCGACTTCACTGGGGAAACAATTCTAAATAGAAGAGGTCTGTTGATTTACTTTTCCTGCAAGGAAGAGAGTTAGTTGTATGCATAGTAAATGAGGTTCTCAAAATAAATGAGATTATGCTATAAGCATTTGTCATGTATGTAATATGATGTATGAATATAAAAAATTATTGAAGTGTATATTTGTCTTGGAAAA